TGGAGACGAGCGGGCACCGGGTGCCGGGTGGTGCCAAAAAACTTCAGGTGGCAGGAATGAATTTACAGGTGGGAGCCGGGCGTTCAGGTGGCGGAGGGTGCGGGCGCCGCCTGCCGCGGGGGGCCAGCGTGCGAGCGCGAGAAGACTTTGGCGACGCAGTTGGGGCAAGTGGCGTCCAGGCCCTTGTACCGCAGCCACGTCTTCACGCACCCCTCGTGGTACTGGTGCCGGCAGGGCAGGCTCAGGATCTGCGGAAGGGGAGCGGGGACAGCGGGGTGGGCGCGGGGCAGCAGCGATGCCGCGATGCACGAGCACTCAAGCAGCAGCGGCAGCAGCAGCGGTGCAAGCTGCCGCTGCTGCAAGCTGCCGCCGCCATGCGCGCCTTGGCGCCGTCGTCAAAGGGCTCCAGGCACACACTGCACAGGATCTCCTCGTCCTCCTCGCTCTCCTCGCTCTCCGAGGCGTGCGCGGGGGCGGCGGCGGTCGGCGTGGCGGGCACAATCTCCCCCCGCGCCTCCCCTCCCCCTCGCCGCCCGCACGAGCGCCGCCCGCCGCCGGGCGCGCCCCTGCCAGCGAGGCGTGGCTGCTGCTGCTGCTCATGGCGCCGCCGGCGGCTGCCGCGGCCGCTGGCGGCAGCCACTGCGGCGGCGGCGGCTCCACCACCACAGGCACCCACGAGGCCTGCTGCGCCGCCGCCGCGGGCCGCCGCTTGCCTCCGCAGCTGGCCGGCGTGGCCGGCTCCGCCCCCTCGCCTGCCCCGGCCCTGGGGGTGAGGTCGAAGGGCGTGCTGCGCTGCTTGCGCGACTTCTTGGTGGGGGTGCGGTGCACGTGCACGGGCAGCTGCGCCAGCTGCGCCTCGGGCAGCGGCGGCGGCGCCTGCGCGGCCTGCTGCATGCCTGCGGGCGCACGCGGGCGGCGGCGGGGCAGGGAGGCAGACGCCGGGCTGGAGCTCAGGCCGAGCGCCAGACCGGAAAGACCGTCGTGGCAGCAGGCAGCAGCA